ATATATATATATATATATATATATATATATAACTCCTTTAGAGAGGAAGCCCACAATAACTCCTTCACCTCCAGATTTGTTTGGCACAAGAACCAAATCCCTAAAGTTAGGATCTTCATTTGGAAATGCCAATCAGGATGCTTACCCTTTCCCTACAACCTCAGGAGATTCAACTTCATGCTCCCAAGCATATGCCCTTTCTGTTCACAGCATGAGGACAACTTGGATCACACTCTACTCAATTGTCACTTCAGCAAATATATTTGGGACTATTTCAGTGACTTGACAGGTGGACCTTGGTTTGCAGCTTCCCTCACTTTGCGGCAATGCTGGCTTCTTTGGTGGATCTCTGGTAACACTAAGAGTTTCAAGGGGTGTGCTAGGCTCATCTTACCAGGCATCATCCCATGGTGCATTTGGAAAGCCAGAAATCTTGCTATCTTCGAAGGGAAAAATACTACAAGGGAGGGGATTATTCAACATTGTTTCAAACTCCTTCAAGGCTGGTGCTGGGTCAATAGGAACAAGAAATGGATGTGTTATGATGCTGACTTCAATGGCTGGGGTCTCAACGATTTCTGGAGGACTGGAAGACATGTACATTTCTCACTTTAGTTATTTTCGTTCCTATCCTGATTGTATTTGTATTCTCTTTTTTTCATTAATAAAACATATTTAATATATATATCTATATCTATATCTATATATATATGTTTCGTATATTATATATATATATATAATAGATGTTATATTATTTATTTTGTGTTATTTATATGATAAATAAAGTTGACAAGATAAATTTGAAGCTTCCTTAAAGTGAGATTCGAAATTTCCTAAGTAGAATAGGAATGGGATTTGATTTCCTTCCTAAACTCTAAAAGGTACATTTCTATTAGGAATAGGAATGAGGATTATACTCCTTATAAATAGGAGATCATCCCACCCCTTTTAGACTACTAAGACTTTCGGCCCTACCATAGTTAAGAGAGAAAAATTTGTTTTGTTCTCATAATACTTTACACCAAATATTTTATATTTTAGAAATATTATTCTTGAGAAAAATTACTATAATTTTCTCTAGAACGCTCTTCATTGTTCGTGTGTCTCAACTGGAGGTCATATACTTTTGTGGCTAGCTCTTGGATCAATCCATCAACCGACACATATCGTTGCTTGCTCGCCAAGAAAGGTATATTTCTCAACAATAACTTGTAATAATCATAAGAGGTCACGTCCTGGGTGGATCTACGTTTGGACCTAAAATTTTTATATTTCCGCTGCCCTATCCAAGCGTAGAACCCAACAGTGGTATCGGGACTTATGAGAATTATAAGTTTTGTAGATCTGTTTTTGATAATTGATAAAATAAAATATATGTGTATATATTTTCTAAAATTTTCCAAAATTCAAGAAATGCCAAAATATGATTATGGACTTTATAAAATTCGAAAATATGATTTTTGAATTAAATTTTGGATTTATTTTTATTTTTGGGTTAATCGGTTAAAAACTGTTTTAACCAATTAAAATATTTCGAAAATTCGAAAATTAAATTTATTAAATCTGAGACTTTCAAATATGATTTAAAGACCTCTGGATATTTAAAATTAATTTTCGGAATTGATTTCCTAATTTATAAAGTATTGTTTGGTTTGTAATTAATTTGATTAATTACAAGTTAAATACAAACTAAATTATGGAAAAATAGTTTTAATCATTCTGAGACTTTAAAATATGATTATAAGAGCTCCGGAAATTTAAAATTAATTTTCAGAATTTATTTTCTAATTTATAAGGTATTAATTGATTTGTAGTTAATTTGATTAATTACAAGATAAATACAAACTAAATTATGAAAAATAATTTTGATATTTCTGGAATGTTAAAATATGATTTTAAGTACTCTGGAAAATTAAAATAAATTTTAGGTTTTGATTTTCTATTTTTCCTGATTTAAATAATCGCATTCGGTAATAATATAGATTAAACCGAAAAGGACAATTACAATTCGAGATTATAATTTTATGAACTTAAGAATATTATTTTCTAGAATTAAATTCGTAATTTAAGTATTTAATTATTAATTTTTGGGTAAAAAAGTTTTGGTAACTAGTATTGAATTCCCGAAAATTAAATAATTAAATTTAAATTATTGAAATTTAATATTTGGTAATAATATCATATCATTCTGAGAATACTGATTTTTGGAACAATTATGGTACCCTAAAATAATTTTAGAAATTGTTTTATGGATTACCAAATAATAAAGAGAAAGTACCGAAAATATAAGTAAAATCTGGAAAAAAATGTTTTTCAGATTTTACATGAGTCCAAAACTTTATTTTTGGAAAATATTGATTTTTGGAATATTTGGAATATTCTAAATTAATTTTGGAAATTAATTTAACTACTTTTGGAAACATATTCCAAAATACCGAAAATAAAATTTATTTAATTCTGGAAATTTGATTTTCAGAACAACACGGACAAAAAGTAAATTGTTTTGGAAAATATTAATTTTTAGAAACTCGGAATTAATTTTTGGAAAATAGAAGTCCGATTTTGGGTATTTAAATAGAGAATTTCGAATATAAATTTTATAAATTCTGGAAATTTTATTTTCAGACTTATAAAATCAGAATACACATTCTGGAATTTATTTAGTAATTTTCAAAAGGTATAAGTATTTATTTCGAATTAAAATCCCAATTTCGAAATTAATCCCTATATTTACGGCAATTAACTATTTTAAAATTCAGGAAAATTCAAAATTAAATTTTGGATATTCTGGAGTTTTAAAATAAAGTTAAATAAAATTATTTGATAATTTCTAGGCTTGTAGTTTATAGTTCTTAGAATAAACTAGGTCTAGGGTTAGCGCAGCTTGCCTGGTGTATGGTTTTTATGCATGTGATGTATGAACGTATGCTTGGTGCGTGGTTGTGGCTTAGAATCATTTGTTTTTAAATACGGCCTGCGTGTCGTGCCTCATCTCTGAATTCTGGTTGTAAATCTCTTCTTAAACCTCATACCCCTTGCTTACAAAGCAAGGATTCTTTTCTCGCAATTAAACAAAGAAGTCCATGAAGAAGCAAGGAAGATGATGGCGCCAAGAAGAAGAGGACACCAACAAGTAAGGGCTGAACTTGAAGACTAAAACATTCTTAAAGAAAGAAGGTGAAGCTGGAGATGGAGATCTCAAGTGAAGGCTTTATCGTTAGTTCTTTAGGAGGCCACAACCATGTCACGTTTTATGTATTATACATGTTTGTATATATGTTTGTATGATGTTCGCTAGTGTATGTGCGCGGCACATGCCATAGGTGAAATCACGTTTAAAATCCCTCGTAATATTAAGTTTGTGCCTTCCGACGCCGACTCACTCGTCGATACCAGTTTCGACCAGTCAACGAACACGCCAAAGCGGGACGCCTGGTTTACATTGGTATGACGTGAAATCCGTAACAATGGATACTGAGTATGCCCCGGGTTGAACTTAACTAGATTAAGGTAAAAATATGAATAACTTAGAGGCACATGGTTAGGTTAATAAATAAAATCAAATTCATCTAACCTAGAATTGTAAAATGTTACAATTGGAAATAGTTCCTACCTGAAATAGTTTAACTATAGGGCAAGATGCAAAGCACAACTATAGTTAGATGAAATAAGGATCTAGGCCCNACACGCCAAAGCGGGACGCCTGGTTTACATTGGTATGACGTGAAATCCGTAACAATGGATACTGAGTATGCCCCGGGTTGAACTTAACTAGATTAAGGTAAAAATATGAATAACTTAGAGGCACATGGTTAGGTTAATAAATAAAATCAAATTCATCTAACCTAGAATTGTAAAATGTTACAATTGGAAATAGTTCCTACCTGAAATAGTTTAACTATAGGGCAAGATGCAAAGCACAACTATAGTTAGATGAAATAAGGATCTAGGCCCAATATAGGATTTTATTTAGAACAACCTAACAAACCAAGGATTGTAATTGGATTACAATTGTAAATAAGTTCCTACCTAATTAGTTTAACTATAGGGCAAGATGCAAAGTACAACTATAGTTAAATGTAATATGGACCTTGGCCCACTAAGATTTCTCTTTAGGAGAAGTCTCGAATCAACAGGTTACGTACTTGAGGGTAGTTGATTTGTTAAAATAGTGGGAGAGTTATTAGTTAAAGACCTAGCTAATTACTTAGATTCTTGATATTAACTATCTTGCAAATTATATGTAGATGTCTGATAACAACCATAACCTCACTCTTTGCTCAATCCTTGACAAAGATAAGTTGACCGACTCTAACTTCTTAGACTGGCAAAGAAACCTCGTTATCGTTCTTCGACTAGAGAAGAAAGAATATGTGCTTGAACGAGCCATCCCACCTGTCCCATCCGCCAATGCTTCTAGAGCAATCAAGGATACTTATGAGAAGCATGTTGATGATGACAATCAAGTGGCATGTCTCATGTTGGCTACAATGACTTCTGACCTTCAGAAACATCATGAGAGTATGAAGGCGTACGATATGATCATACACCTAAAACAACTCTCCCAAGGACAAGCTATGAAACACCCTAATCCGTCCAGGTCTGCAGCCCCTTTCGGACTAAAGTATTTAACTTGGTAATCGTAAAAATTTAAAACTTTTCAAACACACTTTATTAATCCCAATAATATTTTTCATAACATATACAGTACGGAGTATTCAACAATATTGCGGAATCAAATTTAATATTGACATATCATAATTTATTTCAAAATTTGTTACATCCATCGCGACAATCTCGCCCCATCTGCCACCAGGATCACATTGTTCTTTCTATTTACCTGCGTGTAGCAAATAAAACACACTACACGCTCAGCGGTAAAGCTGAGTAAGCATATCTAATGCATCGAACATCCATATAAACTGAATCTAAATTCATAATCAAATCATTTGATATCATGCACACAATGTTCATTTCAGACATTCACAATTTTGATAATGTTCAGTTCATATCAACACATTTTATTCAATTCAGATATTATTCTGACAGTGCCCTTAGATTATTCTTAAATCTAAGGCCAAATAATAACAATGCTCTTAGCTATTCTTAGTCTAAGGCCATATCATAACAATGCTCTTAGCTATTCTTAGTCTAAGGCCAGATAATAACAATGCTCTTAGCTATTCTTAGTCTAAGGCCAAATCATATTTTCATAACCAGATCCTTAAAAGGCAATTATTAATCAGACACTTAAAATATCATTAGTTTAAGGCAATTGATTTCAGGCACTTAACTGTAGTCAGTTAAGGCAATCAGACACTTAAACTATCATTAGTTTAAGGCAATCGATTTCGGACACTTAACTGTAGTCAGTTAAGGCAACAACAATATAGTGATTGATCAACATTGGATCGGGCATTCCCAAACGAGTAATCCACTAGTTTGGTCTACTAATCCTGTTTATGCATTTTTATCGAATTCATCAACTATTCATGTTTTCATAAGTTCATCCTAAGATCTATTCTAGAGGTCTTCTAGATAGTCTTAACATCAATTAGTTAATAGATATATCTTGAAGTCTTTTAGATATCCTTAACAATACACATCATTTTCTTGTTGATCAATTTATTCATTTTGAATTATGGTTCAATAATTCATAATCATAATTTAGTTCAAGATAGTCAAACAAACATATCTATTCATAATTTCATCTTTACGGTTCTTTCGTTCAATTCTATACATTTTTATTTGTCATAATAAAATCATGATCGTTATGTAGTCATAATTACTCGGGTCGTCCATTTGATCATTATAATAGATATTTATTATCAATGATATTCCATTATCCATTATAATAACCATTTTTTAGGATATTATCAAGATTAGATCATAATAGTCATAATAACATTTATTAACAAATAGCGGCCTAGTTTCGAGTGTTAACACCCTAGCTTACCGTCATGCATAACACAGCCTTCGAATTTGTCCAAAAATCATTTTTATTTCATAAATCATATTCATATTGTTCATAATTGAGTGGTGTCAAAAATAGGATTTTATAGCTTCAAAAATAGCATTTTTAGACTGAAAAATGTTCGTAAGGGTCGACCGTTGGGTCCGAACAGTCGACCGTACCGTTCTGAAAATTTTCTCTTCTGACGGTACCTAGACACGGTATCTAGACACGGTACCAGGGTCCCGTATCAGCACAAAAATTTACTATTCATCATCTTCTTCATGCGGCCATTTTCCTCAAACTTCATTTTAGGTTACCAAACTTCAATTAAACTATATAGAAATGTTCTCCAAGGTTTGTAGATCCTTTTAGAGGCATCAATTCGAAGTTTTAACAACAAATTCAAGGTTTATGATTCTTGGTTCCTCAAACATGTCAAACACAAAACTCAACCAAATAACCGTTTGTAAATGTAGAAACGATCTATACGAACATTCTAATCACTAGATATATCGACGGGCTTACTTCGTAGCTTAACGATGATTCCGGCGATTGGACAGTGAAACTTCCGACGAACACCACGGCTTGCTCAGGCAACTTTGGCGGCAACAAACTATTGCAAAATGCTCTCCTCACTCTTAGGATTCTAATGGGATAAATTTTATAAAGAATGGTGCAGATTTGAAGATTTTGATTATTCCTTATATAGAGTTGGTGAGGGGGAAGAAGACGCAGGATGATGATGATTGATCGGCTAGTGCGCTGGGAGGCGCCGATTGAATAGTTCTCTGATTGGGACCAAACTCGGGGTACACTTTTCGGTCCAACTTTCTCCGAAATGAGTTCCATTTGCACCGTTGCGATCACACAGTTAAACTCTATCTAACAATATAATTTTTATATTTATTTGTAATACTTTTTCGGACACCATATTTTTGGGTGTTTGACTTTGACAGAGTCAAAATTGGTTTAATTGACCTTTCTCATAAAAGGTTCTCTTATTTAATTCATATCAATTATTCTCATGATTTATTTCAATAAATCATTACAAAGTTCACATCATAATTAATTTATTTATTTATTCTTGATTTGGGTCTGTACTCAGGTTCTCAATCATGTTCACAAAATTAAAATATTCCACATATTGGATTTATCTCTATGAGACTTATCCAGATTTTGATATTGGATATTAAAAAATATTTCATATGGGCCCAAAGCCCAATAATAATTTATTTTAATCAAAACAAATTTGATTAGTTGAATAATTATTCATTAATATTTCTAGGGTGTGTTTTGGGTCGTTACAAGCTAGACATGAGATATTTCAAATCTCCAAAGCTCTCTTTAGTTGCAAGTTGTGAGTTGGAAACCCCGTTGGTCCGCATGTTCTCAAGATGATTGGCTACGTCCAAACTCTTGAGAAATTGGGTTTCGAACTAAGGACTGAACTTGCAACTGATCTGATTCTACAATCGTTGCCAGAGTTGTACAAGCAGTTCGTGGTTAATTACGAGATGCATGAACTTGATAAACCACTGCTAGAACTTTTGAAGATGCTGCAAACTGCTGAAGAGAGCTTGACGAAAGGAAAGGGGAATTGTGTCCTTCTAGTTCAAGGAGTAAAAGGCAAGAAGAAGTTCAAAAAGGCAAAGAAGAATGGGCCTAAAGGAAAGGGTAACACCGAGCCAAAGTCCAATTCTTCCAAGCTCAACCTAAAGGTGTGGACCCTGTGACAAAAAATGAGATTTTGGGCGATTCGGCGATCCAACTTCGGAACACCAAAATTCGTCACTCTAATCCAGGTTTTGCGTTATCCTCAGTCTCGTTTACTCCTTTGCAGCTGATCCGGAAAGTTTTGTGGCTTCGTTTCAAGAATTGAGGGAGAACTGAATCTTCCTACGTATCTGGAGAGGTTCGCAGGTGATTTCCAGGTTTTTGGAGGTGCTCGACAATTTTTGGACGAAAAACAGTTCTGCGACTGTTTTTTTGGGCTGCGTGGTTTCCTTGTTGGCTCTCCTTGATTTTTCTTTGGTTTTGCCTCTCCTGCTATTATTTGCATCACCCCTGTACTCTGGTTTTGGTTCGTGGCTTTCTTGGTGGTGGTGTTTCAGTTTTGGTCTTGCACACAAGGTGTTTGATGAAAATTCCCAATGAATAATCCTAAGCTTGTTATCCAAGGGGGACCTCCTAATCCTCCCTCAAAAGGTGCTGTGCTGTTTCAAGATAGGCCCTCTACTTCTTGGGCAGCAGAGGTTGTTACTGCCGAGGGTCCCTCTAAGGAAGCTTTTCCATTGTTGCCGTCCAAGACACAGCCAGTGACCACCAAGCCTCTTACGGTTTGGCATAAGGGAGGCCCTGGTGGAAATACTTTTGCTCAAGTTACTGCGCCAAAACAGCCTTTGCATTCGGTCATGTCCTTGGCCCCTATCCCAGCCCTTCCAGATCGAGACACCACTACACACAGAGGTACACCGTGCATTAGATTTTCTGATAAAGAAGTTGAAGCGTTGGCTTCCATTGATCGCTTCTTGTTGGTTGGAAAGTTCTCACATGGCCAACCTAAGTTGGAGGTTATCAAGAAACATTTTGCAGCTCATTTTATCCTGCGTGGTACTGTTATTATTGGGTGGAGGAGCCCCAAACATATTTTTCTTAAGTTCTCAAATTCACAAGATGCTATCGATATGCTTCTCAAAGAACAAATCACTTTTAATGGTATTCATCCTATGCGGTTATTTAGATGGACTAAGGATTTTGATCTTGACACTGAAACATCCATAGCCCTGGTATGGGTTTTATTTCATGATTTGCCATATCATTATTTTAATGATAAAGCCCTTGCACTTTTATGCAAACCCATTGGGAAATATCTTGGAGTGGATACTGCTACTTTGGAAGGAACTAAGCCGACTTATGCACGTGTTCGTATTGAAATGGATTTGCTCAAGCCATTGGTTTCTAAGGTCTTTGTTGGTACTTCTACGGAGATTGGCAAGGAAGATGAGGGCTTTCTTCAGTTGGTGGAGTATGAGAAAATCCCATTTTTTTGTACTCATTGCCGTAGACAAGGCCACTCTGTTGAGAGGTGCAAGTTCTTGGAGGAATATAATGCTTTTGAGATTCGGAGGAAAGGAAAAGAACATCTTCAAGAGCCACGACAAAAACAGGATCGTAGCAAGAGCCGTGGTCGAGAACGTAGCCAGAGTCGTGGTCGGGAGGAGCCAAAAAGAGTGTATGTGGCTAAGGTATCTAATCCGCCTAGTACTGATCCCATTTCCTCTCTAAAATCATCTATTGATGCTCTTCCCGTGGCCAAAGACCCTCCCACAATCCATGCTCCAGTCTCTCAAAACCCCATGTGCAACCTTATTGTCCCTATCCCTACTGTACCTGATTCCCCTATTACAAACCCTTCCATTTCCATGCAAAAACCCACCCCACCCGTTGTTCAAAACCCACCAGCAAACCCCACTCAAATCCCACAGCCAACCCTTCCCAATCCTCTGCCTGAAGCCCTCACTGCCAAAAACCCTCAGCCCGTACCCTCCATGCCAATGCCCATGCAGACCCTTCCCATGCAAACTCCTTCTTCCCTCCAAAACCAAAACCTTCTTCACGCAAGCACACTCATGCAAAACCCATCCCAATCCGTAACCCCTGCCATGCCAACTCCCTCACATACCCAGCCCATGCAAAACACCCCCCAAATTCCTTCTGTTAATTTGCAACAACCTCAGTCAACCCAAACCCAACACCCACACCTCCAAACCATGCAAACCCTTCCCATGCAACCCCAAAACCCCATTCAACCTTTTCCCATGCAAACCCCACCCTCCCTTCCCCTGTTTGACCGAAACGCCTCTAAAAACTCTTCTAAAAATTTCATTGCCGAGGCCGTAGCTTCTTATAAGTCGGGGTTGTTGTCCCAAGTTGCCCTTCTCAAAATCTTGCACGAAGGCCCGGCTTCTACCGCTGTACCACCTACGTTTCAGCCAGAGACCCCCTCGGGATATTCCTCTGAGCCTGAAGGAAAGGTTGGTTTTAAGGATTTAGATGACGCGGACATAGCGGTTGAGGAAAAAGGAACATCTGAGGAACGTCAGTGTTCCTCTCTGATAATAGTGGATTGCGTGGCCAATGATGACAAGGTGATAGCCAATTCGGCCCCTCCTATTTCTCGTCCTATTGACCTTTACGGGGAGATTCACTTCTATCCAGTTGATGAGCAAGGTTATATTATCCCGGTTACTAAGCACGATGAGGATTATCGTTCTATGAAAGTATTGAAGACGCGTGCATTGGAGCTCATTAGTAACAATTGGGAGGCAGATTTTAAAAAGGTGGATTACGCACGCCACCCAGCGTTGAAAGAGGCCATGCGATGGGCTCGCAGAAGATTTTAAAGAATCCCCCTAGATGCTGAGTTCTGGGGCCTATGCTTTTCCTAGCCTTCGAACCACATATTTTATCTCTCATGGACTTTTTGTTCTCGCCTTTGGGCCTTTATATTTTATCCGTTGGGACTTCTCTAGATTAGCATATTTAGCTTTTCTCTATTTTGTGGGTGAGTGGGAGTTATGTTCCCTCTCCCTTATCTTTTATTTCATTATTTTGTTTTTGGGTGAGTTGGAGACTTGTTCCTTCCACCCCTTTCTTTATTTATGCGAATAAAACTGCTTTTCTTTAAATAAAAAAAAAAAACCTAAAGGTGGAGTGGCTAAAGATTCCATTTGTCATCACTGTGGTGAAGTTAGCCACTAGAAGAGGAATTTCAAACAGTATTTGGCAACCAAGAAAAGGGGTGAAGCTTTTGCTTCAGGTACAATTGTTGTACAGACTTAAACTAATCTACAATTTCTTCAAAAGTATTCGATACTTATATTATTGCAAACCGTTGCAGGAACTGAAGAGAAGTAGTAGGAATGTTGATCTTGAAGATGCAAGGGTTGCAGCTCAGTGGCGCATTAGTTTAAGTTTTAGTATTTGATCAATTTTTCAATTTTGAATTGATGTTTACTTATTGTTTTAAGTACTATTGGTTATTTCTATAAAGGACAAATTGTTTCTCCATTTATAGAAGTATTTCATATGATCAAATATTTTGCCTCACAAGGAAATACAACAACTATACCAAGGCTACAAAGTGCAAATATTAATCAGTTAATAAGTTTGTCACAAAATTGTGAATAAAGTGATTAACCACTTAGAGATATAAGGATATCTTTATAAAGGTTATAGCCAAGTACCCTTTCTATTTAAATTTTCGAAATTTAAACTTGCCATTAGCATTAATAAAGCACACTTAATAAAGATCAAGTGATATTAATGCCAAAAATACATAATAGGAAAGAAAAAAGTGATACGATCATTGACGTCCCATGAAACGTTATCTAGATAACGTGACTAATATAGTTAGTCTAATAAAGAGGATAATGTAACCTTGCCAAATACTACTGAACCTTAAACACTAAAATGATCATTGTAGACTCTGAAAGGAAAGAGCACTTGGAAACTGTTCCAAAACGATTCCTTCCTTAAATAACAAGTAATGAAAGTAAGTCTCATATGAATGAAGACACTTTAAAACACTTATTATGGATGAGTCTATCAAGGATAAGAGAAGGGTTTCGAATTATCTATAACCAGTTATAGCACTTATATGTCTAGGATCCTAAGTCTTATTAAAGACTAGTGGGAGCACAATAAGTATGTTGCATATCATTGACAAAATAAATTAAAACTTATTAGTCATGAATGCAAATAGTAGTTATGTGCTCAAGACTAAAGAATCCATATAGATGAATCAAAGAACTAGGAATAATCTAAGACCAGTACATACATGGAAGTTTGTTGAGACTTGCATGAATCTCAAGGTAAAGCCTTTTTGGAGACTCACTCTGTAAAAGGACCGCATGAAAATCGTTCCATGGAGTACCATGAGATATGGACTTGATTCATTCTAAAAGGATATATTTTATATATGTCCAAGCTGAGCTAAAAATAGTAGTCAACTTTGTAAAAGTTAACTTTTGATTCTTAAGAAGAGACAAAGGAGTATGGTTTTCTAAAATGGCTTAAATGTGAATGTTACACACAAAATAGCTCGTTTAGAACAACTATATAAGGTAGGTTGAAATTAACAAAACATATATTGACAAGTATTGACATGGTGTCATACGCATATAGGTAAGATAAATTTGCAACTTTGGAAGTAGCAAAGAGGAAGATGTTTTGGTTTTGATATCTTCTTAAAAGGATAGCGTTGCTCCCAGCATAAGAAACCAATATGTCGTTGTACTGACAACGATAGGGTTACTACAAGAGTTAAAGAAGCTACACCTTGAAACCAAGATGTCATTAGATCTCACCACATTATACGAACAGTCGTAAAATGAAAGTATCAAAATTTGCAAGATAGAAAAGGATAAACAATCTCTTAACCTATTGACATAGGCTTTGGGAAAACCTATACACGAGGGTCACACTTCGTGCATGAGGCATAGATGGAAACCATAATTGGCCTTAGTGCTAGTGGGAGATTGTTGAATATAAGTGAGCCCTAGAGGCCAACTTATGATTCCATATCTATATTATATCAAGAAAAGTAGGCTCTAAAGATTGTTTAAGTCGTCTCGTGTGATTTAAACATAGCTTTAGTCCATAGAGTAGGCGCTCTAGTAACATAGATGAGAACTACGACGTTCTAATTATGAGGCTGTTACAAAGATGAAGCTACGTCTAAAATATCCTTAGTCGAATATTATGACAATACGGACATCATAATATATCAAGACTAAAACGTATGAGATGAGATAGCTGCGTCTCATAGGCTTTAGATAAAGTGTAATCTGAATCTATACGTAGGCAACCATATTGGATATGTTGCTGGATTGACCCGCTATGAGAATAATATATGGGTTTGAGTTAAAGTGTTAATATTATTCTCATGCGACCATTAGTATAACTATCCTTTGACTTGAAGTCATTACATTCTTTGGTAAGTTGAGTTGTATACTTTGAGGCATGATTTACTTTGTGAATGACGTAGATAGAATTTATCCCTTCTTTGATGAAGTATAATATCTTAGGGCATATTGGTTGATGTGACTTGGGAAGTGCATGGCCATGCCCAAATAAATATGTTATTTGAATCCCACAAGTCAATCGAAGAATCAGTAAACCATCGATTTAACTTTAACAAGGTGACACGCCCCATACCTTGAGTTAAATCAAGATATTAGTGATAAAGGGATAAGGTTTATACAAATAGGATGTGTCGTTGAAGGAATTGTTCCAAGAGCTTTAATCTATAATTTGGGGGTGATAATGTGTTGCTAGAAACCGCTTATCACTTGTAGTATTTAATCGATACTATGGCCAATTTTATAGATGCCTAGAATAGGGTCACACACATAGAACATATGAAAGTGTAGAATATTTAAGTGGAGTAAAGTTGCACTTTATTTATATATTGTGTATATTATATTGTGTGACAATATGATTAGATACACAAACACATATACAACAACAACATCCTAGTTGAATCCCACGAAAGTAGGGTCTGAGGAGGGTGTGTGTTCGCAGACCTTGCCCCCAGCTCTACTTGCACAAAAATATGGAAGGGAACACAGTATAGCACGGGTAAAGCACCAAGTACACGTACGCAACAAGTACAAGCAATAGAAAAAGATTCCAAACAAACACAACACACTACAAACAACCTCTACAACACCGAGCTCCTATCCAGCTACTCTAATCCTAGCTCTCCAAAGGTTCCTATCTAAGGCCATATCCTCAGGGTGAGAAGTCCTAAATCCTGCCTAATCACCTCCTTCCAATATATAAATAATTTTGTCAAATATACACAAACACATATATAAATAAGTATTTATATTTGGACATTTTAATTATAATTAAGTTTGTCAAATATTATTTAAGGAACAAAATATAACATAATTATATATATATATATATTATTTATATATATATATATATATATATATATATATATCTGTGTGTGTGTATATGTGTATATATGGGATTGACTCCAGTGAGATGACACCTTATGGTAAGATGACATGCTTCAATGAGATGACACAACACACAACACTGCCAATTGAAAGCTCACCAACTGCTAATGCAAAGCTCACCAACTACCAATGCAAAGCTCACCAACTGTCAATGCAAAGCTCACCACTTTTTTAAATAAAAAAAGTTAAAAAAATAACACCACCACTCAACCACCACTCAACTACCACTCAACCACCGCTCAACCACCGGTCCACGGCAACAGTGGGAGTCATCGGTGGTGGCCATTGGTCATGGGCGGTCAAAATGTAAAGCTCACCAACTATCAATGCAAAGCTCACCAACTGTCAATAGAAAGCTCACCAAGGAACAATGCAAAGCTCACCACTTTTTTTTTTTAAAAAAAAAGCTAAGAAA